GGGCTGAGGGTGTTTTGGATACAGGGGCTAGCCGCACAGTAGTGGGAAGCCAACGGGTTCGTGAGATCCTCGAGGGGCTTGATGCTGAATGCCGGAACGGTGTTCGAAAGACTTCGTCGGACATCGTGTTCAAGTTCGGCAACAGCGGCACGCTCCAGTCAAAACATGCTCTGCTCCTGCCTATATCTGAGTCCGCCTGGATTCGAGTTGAGGTGATCCCCGGTAACACGCCGTTGCTTGTATCTAATCAGTTACTTCGAGAGCTAGATGCGGTAATTCATGTTAAAAAGGGGTTTCTTCAATTGCCAGGTAGGAAGGTTCCTATGAGGTTTGATAGCAGGGGACTGTCTGTTGTTGATCTCTCGGCATTGCTGCGCAGCCCGACAGCAGACTGCTTCCGAGCCACTGAGCACACCGTGCAAACATGCAGCAACACAACAAGCACACCAACCGTTCACTCGCCAGAGCCGCGACCAGCTCAGCTCACCAGCGCACCGGCCTCCGAGACTCCGTTTTCTGTGGATCATCGTCATGCCGCTCTCGCGCAAGGATGCCTTGAAGTTGCAGGGCAAGATGGTGACTCCAGATGTGGACGAGCCATTGGTGGCTCCCGAGAGCGGAGCCATTGCACTGGATCGGCCCAGTCTCGAAGGCTATCTCGAGGTGGAGTTTGTTCGCCCGAAAGGGGTGGAAACACTCCGAGCCTGGGGCAACATGACGTTGACTGCAGGCAAACACAAGACGAAGACCTTCGCCGAGGCGTTCGAGGAGGATCTGGTGTATGCAGTGGTGATGAGTCGCAAGCAGTCCCTCACCAGCAGCTGGGCCATCTCATACAAGAACTACGCTCTCGCGCGCCTCCAGGCGGCAGCGCGGGCAGAACAGATGGCAGATCAGCGCCGTCAGAAGAAGGACACCCGGCGAACGCCACCTACCAGACGGAGCCAGAGCCAGGATCTCGTGTTCTTCGAGGGCGAGGACGGGATCGAGGAGTGGAAGTTGTGCCTCAGCGGAGAGAGAGCCCAGCACGCCGCTCCCGTCCATCCGACCGGGAGCTCAGCATCCACCGCCGAGCCCAACAAAGGAAAGCGAGCTCCCATCGAGGATCCCCCGCCGGCGATGAACACGGACTTGACCGCGGAGCAGCGCCTCGACATCCTCACCAAGAAAGCCCTCCTCCAACGAGAGCTTGCGAAGTTGGAGCAGTTGGAGGCGGATTCCTGGGACGAGGAGAAGTGAGTTCATTGCAGGGCCACCGTGGCCCGATGAACTTCGGTAATCATGTGGAGCAAACGCTGGCAACTTGCCAGAGGATTGATGCGTGCATCTTTCAGATTGAAGAGAAGCTTGGGAAACTTCATAGTGAAAACGGTGACTTTCGTAACAAGATGCACTACAAGTTGCCCCGGCTTGATGTTCTGGAAGTCACTTTGGCGGACAGTGGCATCAGCAATGCCATCCGGAATCGCCAGGGCCGCGCTGTGTCCATTAAGACCGTGGAGGCCAAACGCATTTGGTTCATGATTCATACATACGAGCCCAGGCATCTCTGGATCAATTGCGGGAGGCAGGATCCTTCAAAGATATGTTGGCCTAGAGAGCTGCTTTATGACCTTTACGAACATCAGATTGAACAAGGGCGTCATTTCCATGTGTGCTGTGGCCAAAATATCTTTGCGGAGTCCACTCCGGAATTGCAGGATGTGATGCATGGCACCCTGTGCGCAGTCCACTGTCCGTCGGAAGTGATGGGATTGGGAAAGATGAGCGGCAACAATTTTCTGAACAAGAAGAGCTTTATCTACACAACATCCCGAGCGGTTCACGAAGCCACCGATACCCGTAGGGCAAAGAGGCACTTTTCCAATCCCGGCCAGCTCACAAGCAACACGCCTGCACCACGAAGCCAGACATGGCAGCTCCGACTGGCTGAGCAAGCAGCAGCAGCAATGATCTCGGATTGCAGTGTTCCTGTATATCTGTCTGAGCTACTCGTAGCAGACCTTAAGCGTGACGGGGACCTCAACTTGAGTAATCAAGCCGCGCTTGAAAATGCTCAGCAAGTTGTGAAGCGCCGACGGCTTCTGCGGAAGCAACCGGCACCTGCGGTGAGCAAAGCTCGGGATCAACAATCTGAAGCCTCGTGGGTCACTATCTTTAGGAAGTTTGATGTTCCTCATAGGGGTCGGGTGTACTTTAGAGATGGGGATGATGTTGTAAAACAGGTTCAGGAGTTGATCCCACAATTTCAAGTCAAACATGTCGTGATGGCTCGTGGCACCAATCGCGTCCAACCGCCGAAGCCAGGTCTTGAGATTCAGGATATTCCTCTTCGTCAAACAGTAGTGGTTTCCCGGGATAACGGTAAGGTTATGAAGGATGGTGGTTGTGAGTCATGGGCGAAGAGTCCTAAGTATAAACGGTGGCGTCGAGGAATACCTGCTCGAGTCAGTCTCACGGCATATGGCTCAGAGTTTCTTCAGATGAGGGCCGATAGGGCAACAGTCGATGTACCTCTAGATGAATCGATGCAGTCTGGAGCGCAGTCCTCAACACCGGTTTATGCTGAGCCTGACGCGGGTGTTTCCCGCAACGGTCCTTCAATCACCGCTACCAGTTCAGCACAGCCTCCAAGTGTGAGCCTTCCCCTCATCCCTCCTAAACTTGAACAGGGGCATCCTCCCGTAATGGTACCGAAGCATGGGCCAGGGTATTTGAGGTTGAATGAGCAAGAAAAGAGGGAGTTAGGAAGGCTCCACCAAAATCTTGGACATCCAGACACGGGCATTATGGTGAAGTTTTTGACTGAACGCAAGGCGGATCCACGCATCATTCAAGGAGCTAAAGATTTTTCCTGTAGTACGTGTCTCGAGTCGGTGTCTGGTCCCAAACCTGCTAGGCCCGCAGCGATTCATTTGGATGCCGATTTTGGTGATGTTATTGGCATGGACGTAGCATACTGGAGTGGGCAGAGTGGTCACAAGTACATGTTCACTCATATCCTTGATGAGGCAACGTTGTTTCATCAGGCCACGGCATCCGGAAGAACCATGGAAGACCAGTACGACACTCTCACCGACAGCTGGACCAAATGGGCGGGGCCTTGTCAGCTTCTCTACATTGATCCTGCAGGGGAGTATGTAGGGGACTTGTGGCGTGAGAAGTTGCAGCGGGACGGGATCTGCGCGAAGGTAGCTGCTGGTGAGAGTCACTGGCAGGTTGGAAGGGTAGAGTCCCACGGGAAGATTTTGAAAGCAATGCTCTCCCGCATGGATGCCGAGACTCCCATTACAGATGATGCTGAGTTTAGGCAATGTCTACGGGCCGCAATTCATGCAAAGAACTCTCTGAGTAGGGTTCGAGGCTTTACTCCAGAACAAGCTGTTTTTGGGAAATCGTCTCGGCTCCCTGCCAGCTTAGTTTCAGATGAGCTGACGGCGAGCCATGAGCTAGCAACCAGCTCACTACCCGAGGGTCTCGCCTTTCGTCAGAGTCTTCAACGAAGGGAGCAAGCTAGGGCCGCGTTTGTTAGGGTAGACAACGACAATGCTTATCGACGTGCACTGTTAAGAAAATCCCGAGCAACTCTCCCATCATTTACTGCAGGCCGTTGGGTTCTTTACTGGCGACAGCAACGCGTAGGCAGTCGCTCTCGTGGCGAGCGCGGCCGGTGGCATGGGCCTGCGCAGGTGATAGTAGGAGATGAACGCGTCGTATGGCTTTCACATTGTGGCCAGCTGATCAGAGCCTCGCCGGAGCATCTTCGTTCAGCGTCGCTTCGAGAGTGGGAAACTTTGCAGCACAGCCAGGGATCCCTCCAACTCTCTTCGGACAGGGTATCCACCAGAGGGGTAGTGGACCTTTTAAGTGAGGGTGTTCTGCCTACAAGAGAGGATGTAGAGATGGAGGGGACCCATCCAATTTCTGAGCCTGCGCCAGTTATTTCAGGGTCTGCTGTTCCGCCTCTGGATGAGGGGTATGGGGTAGGCGCAATACCTTTAGGTGGGGGTGTCGACGGGGACCCTACGACCGTAACGCAAGACAGTGGCCCGGAAGCAGCAGAGCAGCCTGAACAACCTGAAACCGAAGTCTCACCGGCGATTTCGATGGAGCAAGAGCCTGAGGAGCCTATGGAACTAGATCCTGTAGAGGTCCCAGTACCTGACGAAGATGAGGATATTCTATTCGGAGACTCCGAATGCTTCTTGATCCATCCAAGTTCGGAGCAAGTGTGGGAGATAGGGCTTCATGAAACAGGGGTAGAATACGAGAATCTTCCTTCACCCGAGCAGGCCCTGCAGTACGTTCTCGTAGCCAGTACTGAGAAGAAGAAGCGCACTGAAGTTAAGCTTAGAGATCTAAGTCAGCATGAGCGTCAGTTGTTCAAAGAAGCCCAGAACAAAGAAATCAAAGCTTGGCTTGATCATCGGACGGTGCGTCGAGTTGCAGCAGGCACCCTTGAGGACTCGCAGCTCATGAGGTGCCGGTGGATCCTAACGTGGAAGGCTCCGGAAAAGGAAGGGGGTCCACACAGGGCAAAGGCTAGGCTGGTAGTACTAGGTTTTGAGGACCCAGGTCTATCCGATATCCCTAATGATGCACCCACGTTAGGAAAAGATGGTCGCCAGTTGATTCTCCAACAGGTGGCTTCTAGAAAGTGGAAGCTCATCAACTTTGACATCTCTACAGCCTTTTTGCAAGGAAAAGGGGATGGCCGTAAGCTGGGCATCAAACCTCCCGAAGAGCTCCGGGAAGCTTTAAAAATGGGTCCCACAGACCAATGTCGTCTTGAAGGCGGGGCCTACGGAAGGATTGATGCTCCTTTCTTGTGGTTCCAGACCCTCAAGCAGACACTTGAGGAGCTGGGATTCATCCAGAGTCCCTTTGACGCTTGCACTTTCAGCCTTGTCACTAAAGGACCTGATGGGGAACCCCGGGTACATGGTGTTTTGGGGATACATGTTGACGATGGCATAGGGGGTGGGGATTCATACTTTGGTAGGGTCATCGAGCAGCTTCGGGGCATCTACAACTTCGGGTCCTATGATGAGGGTGAGTTTGTTTTTACAGGGATTCGTTTTCGGCAGTGGGACGATGGAAGCATTGAGATGGATCAGATGGCTTACATCGAGAAGATATCGCCGATCCATGTTCCTAGAGACCGTAGGCTACGATCTGAGGATCCTCTCTCTGCTTCGGAAGTCCATGAGTTGCGCCGTCTCAACGGCAGCCTTCAGTATGCGGCGGTACACACCAGACCAGACATCGCGGCAAAGGTTGGGTTTCTACAGTCCATGGTCACCAAGGGTAGGGTTAAGCACTTGTTGGAGGCAAACAAGGTGTTGCATGAGGCCAAGTCACACGCTGTGTCTCTGATGGTGGTACCGATCCCTGAAAAGCATGTCACCTTCTGTACGTTTTCAGATGCTTCTTTTGCCTCGTCCAAAGATAATAACTCGTATCAGGGGACACTGGTGATTGTAACCGATTGGCGCATGCTTCAGAATCAGAAAGCTGTCATTGTTCCCGTGGCTTGGGCGAGTAAGAAGATTTCCCGAGTAGTTCGAAGCACTTTAAGCGCGGAAGTGGTCGCTCTGTGCGGATCACTTGACAGAATGTCGTGGTTACGGCTGTTCTGGGAGTGGATAAAGAACCCGGGGATAGATATTTCCCATCCCGAGGAAGTTTTGAAAGGAGCTCCCAAAGCCTCTCTTGTGACCGACTGCAAGAGCGCCTATGATGTAGCTACGAAGACTGCTGTCCCAAACTGTGTGGAACTACGCACTCAGTTGGAGTGTCTGCTGCTTCGCGAACGGTTACAAGAAAACTGCAAGATGCGGTGGGTCCACTCGAAAGCCATGCTGGCGGACTGTCTTACCAAGGTCATGGATAGTTCTGAACTCCGTAGGGTCCTTGGTTCGGGGGAGTATGCTCTGTATGATGAACAACTCAATTTAGCTGACAGAGCAGGGAAGAGACAGTCGCTACAGTGGCTCTCGCCAGACAGGACTGCATAATTTCGAATCTTCGAAGAAAGATTTCAAAAATAATACTTTTTAGTGAGTGTTAATCCGACGCAAACACAGGTGCATCAGTCGAAGATTCTGGCCGACATCCGGCTCAACAGCGACAGAGGAGGGAGGGCAGAGGTTCGCTTGAGCTGTTAAAAGGAACAGGGTTCCGGGACCAGAGGGGCTACTTCATAGGAAACGGGGTTTCCTGTTCAGGTTCGTTCTTCAGGCGGCGGGGCCGCTCTTCAGAGATCACAGGCCTGGGGCTTGGGACTTTTCAGAAGGGTTTTGGGGTTGTAGGACCTCAGGGTCTTCGGGTCTTAGGGTTCGTAGGGGCAGGACCGGGCTACCAAGTTCACAGATGGTGCTGATGATGATGATGATGATGACGATGACGATGATGATGACGATGATGACGATGATTCCGATAACGATGATGACGATGATGACGATGACCATGATGATGATGATGATGATGGTTGTATGAGCGACATTCAAACCATTAGCAGCATTGTGAAGGATACTCACGATACTAGTGTGGGTACTGACCTGGTACAAAAGGGAATGTGCAAATGAGCAACATTCCGGAGGCGTGTAAGTAAATGCCTGGATGAGCTGCGGTGCATAATCGAGCGAACTTTGCAACATGTTCTAGTCTTGAGCAGGCTGACGCCTTGGATTACTCAAACTTCCAGTAAGGACGCTTCAAGACGTAGGGAACTCAGCGAAATAGAATTTTGACGCTACCTTTGCCCCTAAGCCATGTTCGTGAGACACAGGCAATCGTCTGATTAATGCACAAACAGAGACGAGGTTTTTCTGGAGCAAGAGCCACAAGTTGGAATCCATAACCATAAGCCCCCTCCGCTGAAAAGTTCAGACTTAGCAAAGAGTGACGACACCGTACGTTCTCCGGATTGCTGTTAGTAGGAACGCTTGACACGGCAGCCCTGCCTTCATGGCGTAGGCGCCCTGGCGTGGTGCCTGCGCACCTTGCATGGGATCTAGCAAACCTAACTGTGCAGCACAGCTGCCCTTCGCGCCTTTGTTTCCTTGGGATGCAACTGCCGGACCCTTTGGCGGCACGTGTCCAGCCACCGGAGCCTCACATCGACGCCAATACGCCCCCCCCCCCGTCGCATACACAAGAAAATGGAGAAATAGCACAAAGCTTCGTCTGCGGCAGAAGCCTCGATCTGCTTCAAGCTGTGAGAGATTGATGCCCGTTTTGACACTCAGACATCAAACACCAGACACGTCGAACCCGAAGGTACAACGAAGCACAAGGTCGCCTGGGAGGCTTCGGAAAGCGCAGCCTTGCCCTTGCCAGACGGGTCGGAGCTCCCCTTGCCCTTGCCTTGCGCAGCCTTCCAGAAGGCCGCAAGCTTCAGATGTGGGCGGGGCGTCAGTGCTGCTTGGGCTTTACGGCTTCATGGGTGGAGGCCATGGACCTGCTCACTCCCCGCAGGCCCGGGAACCCCCACGGCCTGGGCTGGCTTGGCTTTCGCTGCCTTGGCCGGGCGTGGAGCCTGCGAGTCCGCCACACTCCGGATCAGACTTTGGGCTTCGTGATGCAGTCTTCGAGGGTCCCCGGGGCCTTCGACGTTTCGAGTCAAAGCGCTTCAAGCTTCACAGGTAGTCTTGCTGTAGGACTTCCGACTTCCCCACGCCTGCTCGGCAAGTGTCTTCGGAGACGCGTCTGAGACGACGGCTTGCATTCCTTCGGAGGCGGCGACGAGCTACTTGTTTATGTCGAGTATTATTCATGGTACTAGTAGTAGTAGTAGTAGTAGTAGCAGCAGCAGCAGCAGCAGGAGTAGTAGTAGTAGTAGTAGTAGTAGTAGTGGCAGCAGCAGCAGGAGTAGTAGTTATGTCGAGTATTATTCATGGTACTAGTGGTAGTAGTAGTAGTAGTAGTAGTAGTAGTAGTAGTAGTAGTAGTAATAGTAGCAGCAGCAGCAGCAGCAGCAGCAGCAGGAGTAGTAGTAGTAGTAGTCGTAGTAGTAGTACGACAACGACGA